CATGGTAGTTGTTCAAAAACAGTCCGAAACCCTACAACCCTAAACCCTTAAACCCTAAACACTAAACCCTAAAACCCTAAAACCCTAAAACCCTAAAACCCCTAAAACCCTACAACCCTAAACCCTAAACCCTAAACCCCTAAACCCTAAAACCCCTAAAACCCTTAAACCCTAAACCTACACCCCTAAAACCCTGAAACCCCTAAAACCCTGAAACCCCTAAAACCCTGAAACCCCTAAACCCTAAACTCTAAAACCCCATAGGCTTTTAGCTCATGAGCTGGGCCTCCAGCACATTGCACTGCCCTGGCTCCATGGACTTCATGCCATGACTTCCGGTGCCTTAGGGGTGGGTGGGTGGGGGGTTTTAGGGTTTAGGGTTTAGGGTTGAGGGTTTAGGGTTTAAGGTTTTAGGGTTTTAGGGTTTAGGGTTTGAATCCTGAGTTCTACGGTCTACTTGGAGGGCCATGGGAACTTTGTACGTAGGTGAATGATAGGGATAATTGGGGTTACTATAAAGCTCGTACTGGCTATTAGGACACAAGCCTTTTTACTACTTGGAGGGTTCAGGGGGACTTAGCAAGTAGGTTGATAACCCCCTATAACCCATGTAAAAACCCTATTAACCTACTAAGTAAGACCCCAAAACGTTTAACCCTAAACCCTGAATACTATAGTAGTTCCCATGGTCTTTTCCATCATTACTATATGGGTGGTTGTCAAAATTATGACCCCCTTTTGGGTACCCTAAATACTAGGTGCCGAATTATACTAGGGAACCAAAAAGGGACCATATTTTTGACAACCACCCATATGGATATCAGGTTATACACCTCCGTACTAAGTCCCCTTGAGTTCTCCGGCGTAGTGGATGGAAGCTCCGAGTGCCGGACGCCTCTTCAACTCACGGGTGCCTGACTTACTGGTGGTTGAAAGGGAATAAGGAAATATGACCGAGATTTATATTATATATATTACCCCTACATAGTCCTCCATATAACCCCAATATTCTCCCTATAAATTCCCTATATTGTCCCAAAAATTCTCCCTATAATCTATATATAACCCCTATACATTAGATTCCCTTCTTCCCTACGAAACTCCCAGTAAGCGAAACAAGACTCGGATCAGACGTGGCCAATCTGGCAACTTGAAGCTGGGATAGAAACCAGGGCCCCAAAATAGGGTTTAGGGATGACTTCATATGGGTTATATTTAAGGTCTAGTAGGGACTATGGCCCTATGAAAATTCAATTCCTATGGGTTATATGAGGTTATCTAGGGATATGGCCATATGAAAAGTTAAGTTTTACGGGTTATACAAGGTTATCTAGGGGTTATGGCCCATAACGGATTTAGGGTATTCCCAGGAATAACCCGATCCCTTGACCGTTAACGCTAAAAGCTTAACCCTAAGCCCTACACCCTAAAACCTTAACCCATTCCCCACAGTAAGCCCACGACCGGCTCGTTGGATTGGCTCTTGCCCAGTACTTTGTCATACCAGATCTGCACACACAGGATTTGGGTTTAGGGTTTAGGGGGCTTAGGGGGTTTAGGGAAGCATGAGCTCAGCGCCTGCAGTTGGCCGTTGCCAACGGACTTGCATGAAGTTTCAAGCTGCAAACTTCAATCCGCACTTTTGATGGTGCTCAAGGGGTTACAATGATCTCATCCGGGAGCAGCCGTGGCTCCAGAACTGCATTCCAAACAACTTTTTATTGGGCGGGACGTGTTTCCTCTTGCAAAATCAAAAAGCTTCAGTACGTATGTGCAAGAAGGCTTTGACAAATTTCATGCACGCATCTGGAGACCCTCAGAAGGCAAAAACAGCGCGGAGTTTAGAGCTTGCGCCGTTTTCAACCACTTGGACTTTGATGTCTGCTACACAATTTGGGTTTTTTCAGGTTTAGGGTTTCGGATGTAGTGTAACTTGAGCAAAAAGAAGTCTGGCATCAGCAAGGACCTGTCCACAATGTGAAGGTGAAATGCCTGAGCTGGTTCATGAACATACCAAGCTACAGTCAGCATTTCCCTATGTAGTTCCTGGACACAGGTTCCTATGAAGGAACTACCAACGCGACCCTATGTAAGCCTAATGTTGACAGTTGCTCCTGTGTTTACGAGTATAGTCCCCCTTAAGTAGATAGAATATGGTGTTGGGTATATGATAATAAGATCCCTATATACCCCATATTCTATCTACTTAAGGGGGGCTATGAGCGCATGAGAAGCTTGCTGCTGCTTGGCTGGAACAATTCATACGTAACCCCGTCTGATCATGAATATATTCACTCCACACCTTCCCTCAAGCACCACCAGCAAGAATGCCATGTAGGTTCCCCAGTAAACCCATAATGATATCATAATAAGGGTACACTTTTTCCTAATATTCAGCTTGAATAAGGAAACCCTACAGTAAAAAGGGAAAAAGGGTACTACTGGGGTACCTATCAGGTTTAGGGTTTAAAGCTGGCACCTCGCACCCCTTCGAGAGAACCTTGTCGTAGATGGGCCTTGGCAGAGCAGCGAAGCATGCAGAAACGGGGGGGTTTCTCAATGACGGGGGAACTAAGGGATGTTTAACTGGATTTAGGGCCTAGGGGTTTAGGGTAGGGGTTTAGGGTTTAACTGTTGTGGGATAGCGCAAGGATAACAGGGGTCCTCCTCATAGATGATGTGGGAAGTCTTACTGGGAGGCCGGCGCAATCCTCTCAGAAAACTGGGCGCCCAGTACAATTCCACCACCAAAGCAGAGCATGCTGAAGATCATCCTGCAATCTCTTCCGCATGTTGACAAGGGTAGTTTCCCAAAATGGGGGGAGCCCAATATAGACCCTAATAAACTATAGTCCTTATCACAACGACCCCAAATGGGTACCCGCAATTTTGGGAAAGCCTCACAACAATGAGATGCAGCGGCATGACAGAAGAGCGGGCCTCGAAAACAGAGCAGCGAAAGTGGCAAACAGTCGGCTGGTAGAAGTACTGGATCCAAACAGCTTCCCCGCAAACCCTCAATCACTGGGTTGCTGCTAAAGGAACTTAATCTAAGTTACTGTACTGGGGAAACCATATGAATTACTAGACACACCAAGTGTGGTGATTTAGTGCAAGTTCCCTTACAGCAACCCAGCTCAGAATCAGTGCTGTGTTCTACGGAGTCATGCTTCTCACACAACCAGCAAGGCAGCTGGCAACTGCAGAAGCGCGGACAGACTGATTTTCAATCTCAACCCGATGGTATGCTGTGTGGGCGGCGCCGTGAAAAGCAGGTAACTTGGCTATCAAATCTATGCCGCTTTACTAACTATCTAACGCTTGGAGCAGCCACTCAGTGCATAGGGTTCCCCTTCCGAAGAGCAAGGGGTTACTTGGGCCGTCCCGGAATAACCGTCAGCACATCCAGCTACAACATCAAACTGGCTCCTACGCAGGTCTGACTCGTCAACGACGTAGCCTTTCGAATCCATCGGGGCAACGCACAGGGTGTCCTTCTCGCAGCCGGACAGTGCGTATGCTCCTTTGTCTGTTGTGCATGTAGAAACCTTGGCACTTCCAAAGTATCCAGCTGCGCACTCTGCGGTCACGTCAAATTTGCTGGCAGCGAGGTTAACTTCCGTCACTTCATAGCCGGCAGATGTTGCTGGTGCTATGCAGAAGTTGTCTTTCACACAACCAGACAACGTGAAAGGCTTTCCATTTTCAGAGCATGGACTGACAGAGGCAGTGCCCGTAAATCCAAGGGCGCATTCGACAGTCACATCAAACTTGCTCACTGCAAGAACTGTCTCTGTGATAGAGTAGCCTTCCACATCAGTCGGGGCGAGGCAAATAGGGTCTTTTTCGCATCCAGCCAATGTGTATGCTTCGCCATGCTTGGCGCATGCAGTCACAGAGGCTGTGCCTGCAAATCCAGTAGCACACTCCACATTCACATCAAACTTGCTCTCTGCAAGATTAACTTCTGTGACAGAATAGCCTTCAACATCAGTGGGGCCGAGGCAAATGGGGTCCTTCTCGCATCCAGCCAATGTGTATGCTTCGCCATTCTTGGAGCATGCTTCCACGCTGGCCGTACCAACAAATCCTTCAGCACACTCTACAGAGACATCGAACTTGCTCTTCGCAAGAACAGTCTCTGTAACAGAGTAGCCTGCTATGTCAGTTGGGGCGAGGCAGATGGGATCCTTTTCACATCCGTCCACATCATAAGGTTCTCCATCTTTTGCGCATGCAGTCACAGCAGCTGTGCCCAAAAAACCATCTTTGCATTTTACTGTCACGTCGAACTTGCTCTTTGCAAGATTCGTCTCTGTGATGTCGTAGCCGGTGGCATCAGCTGGGGCAATACATATGGGATCCTTCTCACATCCAGAGAGGGTGTACTTTTCACCATTGCTGCTGCAGGGTGCGACGGTTGCCTTTCCAAGATAGCCTGGTCGACACTCTGCCGTGACATCGAATGTGCTCTTGGTCAAGCTTTTCTCCACGAACTTGTAGCCCTCCACACTTGCAGCGGATAAGCAAATGGCGTCCGCTTCACAGCCCGACAGCGTGAAGGCCTCCCCGTCTTTCGTGCAGGCTGCGACTGATGCCGTACCAACATATCCTGGTGCGCACTCAGCAGTGACATCAAATTTGCTCAGAGTGAGCGCAGCCTCCGTGAACCTGTAGGCTTTAGCACTCCTGGGTTGATGTTAAGGAACTTAAATTAAGTTACCATAATGGGTATAAATGCAATAAATAATAGGGTTTCCCCAATATAGTAACTTAATTTAAGTTCCTTAACAGCAACCCAGACTCTTGGGAGCCAAGCACACGGGGTCCAGCTCACAGCCTGAAATCGAGTATTGCTCTCCATCTTTTTCACACTCGGTCACCACTGGAGTTCCAAGGTAGCCCGCGATACACTCGGCCTCCACGGAGAACTGGCTGTGCAAAAGACTATTCTCCACCACCTTGTAGCCGGCCTTCAAGGTCGGTGCCAAGCACACCGGATCCACCTCACAGCCCGACAGTGAGTATCTCTCCCCGTCTGCTGCGCAGATAGTCACTTCTGCTGTTCCAACGTAGCCGCTTGCACACTCTGCAGTGACATCCCAGGTGCTCTTGACGATGCTTTTTTCTGTGATTTTGTAGCCCCTGCTAGCTGCTCCTGTGGGAGCAAGACACACGGGGTCTATCTCACAGCCAGCAATCTCGTACTCTTCCCCATCGGCTGTGCAGGGTGTTACAGATGCTGTTCCCAAGAATCCTGTCGCGCACTCGACCTCTACGTCGAAGTTGCTTTTGGTAAGGCTGTTCTCCTTGACCTTGTAGCCTCGCTCAAGCTTTTTCGGAGCTACACACACTGGATCAACTTCACAGCCGGAGAGCGAGAAGGCCCCGCCATGGGATGTGCATGCCGACACTGAGGCCTTGCCAACGTATCCGTATGCGCATTCAACGTCCACGTCGAACTTGCTCTTTGCCAACTCAGACTCCTTGAACTTGTAGCCTTTGGTACTTGTGGGAGCCAAGCAGATAGGGTCCAGCTCACAGCCGGAGATTGAATACTTCTCGCCATGAGCCGTACAGGGTGCGACGGCAGCCTGGCCAAGATATCCCAAAGCACACTGGGCGGTGACGTCCCACTTGCTCTTTTGTAGACTGGCCTCGGTCACCAAGTATCCTTTGACATTGTCGGGGGCCAAGCAGATAGGATCCTGCTCACAACCGCTGAGGGTGTAGGCTTCACCATCAGCAGTGCAAGCTGCCACCGCAGCGGTCCCAATGTAACCCGCCGAGCATGTGACCTTCACGTCGAAGGTGCCTGCCCGCAGGCTTTTCTCTTCAATGTCGTACCCCTGGGATGTAGCCTTGGGGTCAAGTGCACGATCCAAACAAGTCAGGAAGACTCAAGATGTTTGTTTTGCTGAAATAGGGGGACCCCATACAGACCCCAATATCAAGGCCAAAAATATTGTAATCCTTGTTACGAGGCCCCCAAAAATGGTACCTCTAATTTTGGGAAACCCTAGACCCTAAATACTAGCTTCCATTTTCTTTTCCATTATCCCTCATACAACCCCTATAGAAACCTGTATAACCCTAAAGAACCTCTCTATAACCCTTTATAACCCATATATAACTCTTACATGAGCCATTGTCTAAACTCCTAGTATCCCCCTTAATAACCATTATAGTAGTACCCTCTATAATCCCCTATATAACCCCCTCTAAGGAGCTTAGACTAGAGCTCATATAGCCTCTATATAGTCTGCTTCAATTCGCTCAAAGTCCGGGCAGCTGGAGCCAGGCAATGGCGAACCATCTTGCAGCCGCTGAGCACATACTTTGCCTTGGAGCTGATTGTTTGGGCACTGCCCCCCTTGTAACAGTCGGTATTAGGGGTCCTATTAAGGGCTATATAGAACCATATTATAAGTATTATCCAACTGTTACTGAGGGGAGGCAGTACTGAACTGATTGTCTTTTTCCATTTGATTCTCCAATCTAGGGGGGATAATATCCCTAAACCCTAAACCATGATATCCCTAAACCCTAAACACTGAACGATAATATCCCTAAACCCTAAACCCTAAACCCAGAACTCTTTTCAATAGACCGAGCTGCCTGATCAGACTTGCAGGCTTCCACAATAGCTGTGCCATCGTAGCCGTCAGCACACCTCACCCGTGCACCCGTTTGAGGGTTTAGGGTTCAGGGTTTTGGGTTTAGGTTTCAGGGTTGAGGGTTTACGGCTTAGGGCTCAGCATCTCAAGTCCAAGCATTCACTTGTTGCGCAGCATGATCAAATAACGGACAAATACCCGCCCGCCAATTGGGTCCCGCATCATGAAGAAACCTATACCCTAAACCCTAAACTCCAAATCTTGAAGCATCAGCCCTAAAGCCTGAATCCTCAACTCTACACCCTGAACCCTCGCATTCACAACCCATGACCTGGTCCAGTAAAAAAGATGACCCTGCCCAATACGAATATGACCTTGCCGAGTGGCTCACTTAAGAGTTAAATTATATGTGAAAGAGGGTTTTAGGCTTTATGTATTAGCTTCTGTGGTTAGCTATGATTGCGCGGGAGTGGCATGCAAATCGCTCTGACTTGCAGGCCTACTGTAACCCCCTACGTAAACCCAGCTTCCATTTACTTTTCCTTGCTCTTTCCCAGCTGACTCCCCATTAGTAGGGATAATGTCCCTCAACCCTTAATCCTAAGTAGTATTCTACTTTTCCTGTCCATTAGCCCTACACAACCCCCATATAACCCCATATAACCCCGAGATATACTTATATATATATATATCGACCCTAAAGTCCTATTTTACCCCTTAATATCCCCAGTATAGGTCCCCTATATAATCCTTATATAGCCCCCTTCAAGGAGTTTTCACAATTGCTCATAATATTGCTCATATAACCTACCAAGCCCTAAACCCTAAACCCTAAACCCAAAAGATTAGTTTCCATGTTCTTTTCGCTATATAACCTATTTACCCCTATATAGCCCCCTCAAAGCTCCAAGGCGTCCCAGCGGCTTTGCGGTCACATCGAAGGTCAGAATGTGCAAGTTCTTCTCATCCACGACATATCCTTGAAAAGACCAGGTTGCCGAATTTAGGGTTTCGGAGCTTTGATTATGTTACCTTATTATGGGTGGATAGTAAATCACAGGATTTCCTCATTATAGCAATTTAAGTTAAGTTCCTAAAAAGTAAACCAGACGAATGTGGGCTTAGGGCCGCTAATGTCGTTGAAGCAGAGATACGCATGTACCCAGTTAAAACAGGCCCATCCTCGAAGCATGTTGGGGATTTTCTACGGCGCCAATTTTTTAAATACCCGGATCTTTAAATAGGTTGAACAAATCTTTTACACTACCTCCGCGAAAGAATTGGGGGGGCCGCCGTTGATTTTAAACATCCGGAACCATCCCAGCTTCCAACCCCTCCAGCCCTCCAATTGCAGCCCTCCCAGCCCTCCAACCCTCCAATCCTTAAACCCTCCAGCCCTCCAACCTTCCATCCCTCCAACCCTCAAGCCCTCCAACCCTCCAACCTTCCAACCTTCCAACCCTCCAACTTCCAACCTTCCAACCCTCCTACCCT